TTTGATTTCCTGTACAGACTTAAAAAGATAAGGGATCACTTCCTCAACCCTGTTGGTTTATCCATGTACTTTGGTTTCCTCCATAGTAAGACCTCTCCACCTGGGCCAACAAGATTGATAAGAAGTGTCTCTTGGTATCTTTGTTGACCATCCTTGTAAAAAAAGAAAGTTTGAAGTTTAAATAAGTTATTTTTCTGGGATCTTTTTGACTATAGTATTTCAATTTCAAAGTGTTTTAAAAGTTTGGTTTAAACAATATTTTATTTTCAGATTTTCATTTACAACATACACATACACAAATTATAAAATTGAAAATGGATCACGCAACAAGTTTATAAATCTTATATTAAGCCATCTCCAAAACGTTTGGAGAAGGTAGGGAAAATCTATGAAGCAAATACTTAACTAAATCTACCAAGTCGTCTTAAATAGCATAGAAGTTTCCATAAGTTACCGGTTCATAGGAACAGTTTCATGTTTTACACACGTTTCCTTTGTCCTGTATTATTAAGTTCATAGGTATATAAGTAAATATGCCGTTTCATAGTTAATACAAATTTTGAATTGAATCCAATTTGTTTGTGACATTATTTGATCTGTTGTGTTCGATGTTAAACATTTTTTTTGTGTTAGTTTCTAGAGAGACTAAGAAAATTTTGTTGAATTTGAAAATTCGTCATTTCTTGAACTGCTGTTCAAAGGCTCTATATATCAATTGAACTGTTCTCCATTGAATGAAGAGAAATTCAGTTCTAATCACACGGTACCAGTGAACAACTGGAGGTACTTTGTAAATTCTAAAACTGAGCCAACTTTTTTTGTGCAGCTGTTTATGTCGACATTTGAAATTTAACATAAAAATCCATTTAGTGAGTAAAATATATTGTGAAATACTTAATATAAATCGTGAAATAGTTCATAGAATAATGGACTAAAGTAGAACAAATGTGAATTTTAACCTTTACAGTAATTTTTTATTCATTGATGAAAACATGATGAAGGGAATAAAGTTGCTAGAAAAAAAAGTTATAGATATCAGGAGTTTTTTGTGTTAGGTAAGATATATTTAAAAACACAGGATTTTGTTGTTAGGTAAGATATATTCCAAAACACAGGAGTTTGTTGTGTCAGGTAAGATATATTCCAAATTACAGGAGTTTGTTGTGTTAGGTAAGATATATTCCAAAACACAGGATTTTGTTGTGTTAGGTAAGATATATTCCAAAACACAGGATTTTGTTGTTAGGTAAGATATATTCCAAAACACAGGATTTTGTTGTTAGGTAAGATATATTCCAAAACACAGGAGTTTGTTGTGTCAGGTAAGATATATTCCACAACACAGGAGTTTGTTGTGTTAGGTAAGATATATTCCAAGACACAGGAGTTTGTTGTGTTAGGTAAGATATATTCCAAATTACAGGAGTTTGTTGTGTTAGGTAAGATATATTCCAAATTACAGGAGTTTGTTGTGTTAGGTAAGATATATTCCAAAATACTTTGAATTTTAAGAAAAGAAAATCATGTGTTGTCACATCACTTAAATAAGATTTTAACTTTTGTATGGCAAGTGCTTCAATGCATTTTTTGTTTATTTTAATACATTGTTGTGATGTCAGTTTTGTAAATAATTTTGTTTGAAACTTATACAATACAGAATCATGTTGTTTTATTTGTATCATTGTCATAGATAAGTCATATAGTATTTCTTAATAAATGAAAATGTATCCAACTACAAATTTGTGTTATTGTTTATACTTTGATATGTAAAATGTTGAATTTATATCACAGAGTCATCTGTAGTATAGTTATTAATATTCATAGGGACCTTGAGGGGGGTGGACAATGGGGTCCCAAATTTTTCATTGAATGTATAAAATTCAATACAGTATTGACTGAATCCTGATCAGCTGAGAATCAGATGATAACCAAACTGCTGAATCCTAAGGGATCTGGAGGGTTGGTCCAGTAGGGGTCACAGAGTGTAAAAATCGTAAGGGATCTGGAGGGTTGGTCCAGTAGGTGTCACAGTGTGTAAAAATCCTAAGGGATCTGAAGGGTTGGTCCAGTAGGGGTCACAGAGTGTAAAAATCCTAAGGGATCTGGAGGGTTGGTCCAGTAGGGATCACAGAGTGTAAAAATCGTAAGGGATCTGGAGGGTTGGTCCAGTAGGGGTCACAGTGTGTAAAAATCCTAAGGGATCTGGAGGGTTGGTCCAGTAGGGGTCACAGTGTGTAAAAATCCTAAGGGATCTGGAGGGTTGGTCCAGTAGGGGTCACAGAGTGTAAAAATCGTAAGGGATCTGGAGGGTTGGTCCAGTAGGGGTCACAGAGTGTAAAAATCGTAAGGGATCTGGAGGGTTGGTCCAGTAGGGGTCACAGAGTGTAAAAATCGTAAGGGATCTGGAGGGTTGGTCCAGTAGGGGTCACAGAGTGTAAAAATCGTAAGGGATCTGGAGGGTTGGTCCAGTAGGGATCGTAAGGGATCTGGAGGGTTGGTCCAGTAGGGGTCACAGTGTGTAAAAATCGTAAGGGATCTGGAGGGTTGGTTCAGTAGGGGTCACAGTGTGTAAAAATCGTAAGGGATCTGGAGAGTTGGTCCAGTAGGGGTCACAGTGTGTAAAAATCCTAAGGGATCTGGAGAGTTGGTCCAGTAGGGGTCACAGTGTGTAAAAATCGTAAGGGATCTGGAGGGTTGGTCCAGTAGGGGTCACAGTGTGTAAAAATCGTAAGGGATCTGGAGGGTTGGTCCAGTAGGGGTCACAGAGTGTAATAATTCTAAGGGATCTGGAGGGTTGGTCCAGTAGGGGTCACAGTGTGTAAAAATCGTAAGGGATCTGGAGGGTTGGTCCAGTAGGGGTCACAGTGTGTAAAAATCGTAAGGGATCTGGAGGGTTGGTCCAGTAGGGGTCACAGTGTGTAAAAATCCTAAGGGATCTGGAGGGTTGGTCCAGTAGGGGTCACAGAGCATAAAAATCCTTAGGGATCTGTAGGGTTGGTCCAGTAGGGGTCACAGTATGTAAAAATCCTAAGGGATCTGGAGGGTTGATCCAGTAGGGGTCACAGTGTGTAAAAGTCCTAAGGGATCTGGAGGGTTGGTCCAGTAGGGGTCACAGTGTGTAATAATCCTTAGGGATCTGGAGGGTTGGTCCAGTAGGGGTCATAGAGCATAAAAATCGTAAGGGATCTGGAGGGTTGGTCCAGTAGGGGTCACAGAGTGTAAAAATCCTAAGGGATCTGGAGGGTTGGTCCAGTAGGGGTCACAGTGTGTAAAAATCGTAAGGGATCTGGAGGGTTGGTCCAGTAGGGGTCATAGAGCATAAAAATCGTAAGGGATCTGGAGGGTTGGTCCAGTAGGGGTCACAGAGTGTAATAATTCTAAGGGATCTGGAGGGTTGGTCCAGTAGTGGTCACAGTGTGTAAAAATCGTAAGGGATCTGGAGGGTTGGTCCAGTAGGGGTCATAGTGTGTAAAAGTCCTAAAGGATCTGGAGGGTTGGTCCAGTAGGGGTCACAGTGTGTAAAAATCCTAAGGGATCTGGAGGGTTGGTCCAGTAGGGGTCACAGTGTGTAAAAATCCTAAGGGATCTGGAGGGTTGGTCCAGTAGGGGTCACAGTATGTAAAAATCCTAAGGGATCTGGAGGGTTGGTCCAGTAGGGGTCACAGTATGTAAAAATCCTAAGGGATCTGGGGGGGTTGGTCCAGTAGGGGTCACAGTGTGTAAAAATCCTTAGGGATCTGGAGGGTTGGTCCAGTAGGGGTCACAGTATGTAAAAATCCTAAGGGATCTGGAGGGTTGGTCCAGTAGGGGTCACAGTATGTAAAAATCGTAAGGGATCTGGAGGGTTGATCCAGTAGGGGTCACAGTGTGTAAAAATCCTAAGGTTTTTTTGGAGGATTGGTCCAGTAGGGGTCACAGTATGTAAAAATCCTAAGGGATCTGGAGGGTTGGTCCAGTAGGGGTCACAGTATGTAAAAATCCTAAGGGATTTGGGGGGTTGGTCCAGTAGGGGTCACAGTGTGTAAAAATCCTAAGGTTTTTTTGGAGGGTTGGTCCAGTAGGGGTCACAGTGTGTAAAAATCGTAAGGGATCTGGGGGGGTTGGTCCAGTAGGGGTCACAGTGTGTAAAAATCCTAAGGGATTTGGGGGGATTGGTCCAGTAGGGGGTCATAGTATGTAAAAATCCTAAGGGATCTGGGGGGGGGGATTGGTCCAGTAGAGGTCACAGTGTGTAAAAATCCTAAGGGATCTGGGGGGATTGGTCCAGTAGGGGTCACAGTATGTACAAGCTATGTTCTTGTGATTTCTTTTACTTGAATTTAATTCATAACTTCTTGGAAATAATCTTATTAGATATAAATCAGTGTTGTAATTGACCTGCTGTTGACCCTTGGATGTGTGGGGGTAAGGCACATAAAAACAGCATGACATAAAAAGGCTTTCAATAACTTCTCAGAATTATAAACAGGATGAGCTACCAATGATGACCATTTGGATTCACCAGTCTTATGTGACTGTACTTATATGATGGCGGATTCATTTAACAGACTTTACATCACATTAACGGCCTTTCTACAGATGAGTATTTCTGAAGCTCATACTATTGTACGAAGTTTCTTACGTAAACAGGCATTATTTTGGTGTCTGAGCTTTACATGATCTTTTGTTAGGCTTGTAGATTTTGAAATATTTCTATGCAGACAAACTGTACTTGTAGATATTTTGTTTCCTTGCACAATTTAATTGTGGGGGAAGGGGTGGCGTATATATTCTTCTTTCATTTCTACACTCATTTCACGCCCACTCATGCATAGAAATGTGACGTGTCCCTTGCGATTGCACGAACTGCTGTGCCTGTGTTGTTTATAAAGCAATTACTGCTGATGAGAAAGTTGATCATTGTATTTATTTCTTTAAAATATATGCAATATGTTTATATTTGATCGTGCAGAAATAAGTTTGTTTACAGTATCAGATGATATAAAACTCGAGACACTGCCTATCGTAAGTTTTTTTATTTACCTATTACATTTTCATTCAATAATATAAATTATATACAAAAATATACATACATCATGTATCTATGAAATATCTACAAATACAAGGACGGAGTAATTAGAATAGACACTACTATCTTTGACCTTATTGATACTCGATGCCAACATAACTTATTTGTTTAGAAAGTCCTTCAGATCATTCTGTGACAGAAGACATACACTGCTCTTTTTTATGTGACCTGTCCAATACAAACCTACATATTCTGACTTTTGTACAAATATACTATGCTCTACAGTGTCAGATAAGACAGGTTAACCTAATCAATATGTTGTGTACCACAGGGTGTCAGATAAGACAGGTTAACCTGATCAATATGTTGTGTACCACAGGGTGTCAGATTAGACAGATTAACCTGATCAATATGTTGTGTACCACAGGGTGTCAGATAAGACAGGTTAACCTGATCAATATGTTGTGTACCACAGGGTGTCAGATTAGACAGGTTAACCTGGTCAATATGTTGTGTCCCACAGGGTGTCAGATAAGACAGGTTAACCTGATCAATATGTTGTGTACCACAGGGTGTCAGATAAGACAGATTAACCTGGTCAATATGTTGTGTCCCACAGGGTGTCAGATAAGACAGGTTAACCTGGTCAATATGTTGTGTCCCACAGGGTGTCAGATAAGACAGGTAAACCTGATCAATATGTTGTGTACCACAGGGTGTCAGATAAGACAGGTTAACCTGATCAATATGTTGTGTACCACAGGGTGTCAGATAAGACAGATTAACCTGGTCAATATGTTGTGTACCACAGGGTGTCAGATTAGACAGGTTAACATGATCAATATGTTGTGTACCACAGGGTGTCAGATAAGACAGGTTAACATGATCAATATGTTGTGTACCACAGGGTGTCAGATTAGACAGGTTAACATGATCAATATGTTGTGTACCACAGGGTGTCAGATTAGACAGGTTAACATGATCAATATGTTGTGTACCACAGGGTGTCAGATTAGACAGGTTAACCTGGTCAATATGTTGTGTACCACAGGGTGTCAGATTAGACAGGTTAACATGATCAATATGTTGTGTCCCACAGGGTGTCAGATAAGACAGGTTAACCTGATCAATATGTTGTGTACCACAGGGTGTCAGATTAGACAGGTTAACCTGATCAATATGTTGTGTACCACAGGGTGTCAGATTAGACAGGTTAACCTGATCAATATGTTGTGTACCACAGGGTGTCAGATAAGACAGGTTAACCTGATCAATATGTTGTGTACCACAGGGTGTCAAATTAGACAGGTTAACCTGGTCAATATGTTGTGTCCCACAGGGTGTCAGATAAGACAGGTTAACCTGATCAATATGTTGTGTACCACAGGGTGTCAGATAAGACAGATTAACCTGGTCAATATGTTGTGTCCCACAGGGTGTCAGATAAGGCAGGTTAACCTGATCAATATGTTGTGTCCCACAGGGTGTCAGATAAGACAGGTAAACCTGATCAATATGTTGTGTACCACAGGGTGTCAGATAAGACAGGTTAACCTGATCAATATGTTGTGTACCACAGGGTGTCAGATAAGACAGATTAACCTGGTCAATATGTTGTGTACCACAGGGTGTCAGATTAGACAGGTTAACATGATCAATATGTTGTGTACCACAGGGTGTCAGATAAGACAGGTTAACATGATCAATATGTTGTGTACCACAGGGTGTCAGATTAGACAGGTTAACATGATCAATATGTTGTGTACCACAGGGTGTCAGATTAGACAGGTTAACATGATCAATATGTTGTGTACCACAGGGTGTCAGATTAGACAGGTTAACCTGGTCAATATGTTGTGTACCACAGGGTGTCAGATTAGACAGGTTAACATGATCAATATGTTGTGTACCACAGGGTGTCAGATAAGACAGGTTAACCTGATCAATATGTTGTGTACCACAAGGTGTCAGCTAAGACAGGTTAACCTGATCAATATGTTGTGTACCACAGGGTGTCAGATTAGACAGGTTAACATGACTATATACAAACAAATACAGGAAAAAATAATCATTTCCTTAATTCCTCAAATGTATTTGAAAATCTTAAACTGATCAAGAGACCTCACTTAAAACATTCTGTTCTTACTTCATCTGTACAAACTACATCATTCATGTGGAAACATTTAGATGAATGTACTAGATGTGCTAGCTCCTCTCAGGACAAAAATGGAAGAAAAACAATAGTCAGATTGAAATTGCATCGAATCTTGGTTCAATTTCTTGACATGACAAAATTAAGCAATGTCATTCTGTAGCTTGTAACAGCTGAGAAAGTTTCAACCATTAGAAAAAAGTTCCTGAATCCAAAGACAAATTTGAATAATTTTGTCGCTTATGTTGAATTTCCACTTAAGTTGTTAGTTCTTGGGTTTTTGTGGCACCATGGAATAGATCTCTATTGGCACTTTCTCGAGCCTGCATCATCCGAATCCGTGCTTTCTTAAAGGCATCTGGAAAAAGGAACAAAACAATACAATGACAGAAATAAAGCCAAGTCAAAAACATTGTTTTGGAATTGATATATGATGTACTTTTCTCCTTCACAAAACAAAATTTCCATGTCTGATAGTTTCTCTATTACCAAACCAGCACACAATGAAGTTGAATCAAGACATGCAATTTGTACCATCTTGCCTAAAATTGCTTAAAATTACATCTTTTGTTTTTTAATCATTTAAATACCTGGCAAGTTTACAACAAAGATTTATGATTATTATAGATTCCTAAGTATCAAGTGTTTTAAAGAGACACTTTTAGATTATTTTAAGTCTGAACGAGTCTTTTATATACACAACAATAGAAAAAAAGGTGAAGACAGACTTCTAGACAGATGGGGGTATGTTCCCACACTTCTTCTAGTAAATGTCCCTTCAGACTTTTCTGAGGTGAACTCAAACTTAAAAAACACTAGACCAATTTCTCTTCTGATATCTTTAATGCAGTTGATTGTGTTATGTAGACTGATACATATACATAGTTCGTGACAGTCAGTAATTTTGTTTTTGAAAGCAAATTTTTGTAACTAATCATATTTGGTGGCACTCAACATTGATATTGTGTTCCTACCATTTCTTGTATATCTATATCTCATATATGTATTTCATGTTTTGTGATGTCATATAAATGTGTTGAAAATCAATTAAATTACAAAAAAAAAAGATTTGTGATTGTCTATGTACACATCATCTTTTTAACTATCTTTCATATTTAGGATTACTTTTCTTAACATCGTACCTTGTTATTCAAAAGTTTTGCTCAAGTTCTCAAATATTCACACAACAATACTAAAACAGCAATAAGGAAACCGGAAAATATATAATTTTCCTACAAAAACAGCATTGTAGATCAAAATACTCCACCAAATGGATTTGATAAGCAAATTTTTCCTCCTTGAGGAATTTACGAAGGTATCTACCAATCTTATAAAAGCAAGATCTTAATTACTCTCCATATAGGTACAGTATGCTGCTCAATGACTCATAGTACGAAATGGGATTTATAACTGTTTTCATCATATCTTTATGAACATATATTAAGTATTAATTTCTAGAAATTAGATACTTACCAAGAACGTTGGCAATATTTGCTTGTACAGCATTTATTCTGAAACAAGAAAAACAAAATTTTGCTTTATAATTCTAAGAGAAATTCATGTCATCAAATTCTTGATTCATAGAAATATGTAAATGATAATGCCCCTAATCTGTACCATCTAAAAAATCATTAATATTTGTGGAGAATTTATTTTCACTGAAGTCCATATGAAGTTGATACCCATTATTCATGAACTCATATGTCCACCAATTAATTAACTATTGAAAAGTTTATACATAATTCAAACATTAGGGATTTCCAGAGTATAATTTATCAACAAAATCAAGCGCCCGCTAAAAAACCACGGAATTTGAGTCCCACAAAAATATGTGATTTGACAGTATCCAGGTTTTTATACCTTTGCTTGTACATATTGTAATAAGCTTGGGATTATTAATACTAGGGATTTTTAGGGTTATGAAATGCAAAATATAGAAATAGGTAGGCTTATCAACAGACATGGGAGCTAACCAGCTACTCATGCACGTGAATGCTTTAACAATTGATAAAACGCTCAAGTTATTAAAGCAATTTCCCAGTTCCTTACCCCAAGTTGTCAAGCAGATTTCCCAAAGTTTTCTTGTTGGCTTTCTTTTCCATGAAAGCTCTGAAAAAAATAAGGGAAAAAAAATTAAAAATTGCCTAAGAGTGACGTTGAAAGCAATTATACAGTGGTTTTGAGTGGTATTATAAAATAGTAGTTTGAGAGATAAGACTTGGAATACTTACTGTGATTGTAAGATGACGTTTAGTTTGGTTGTGACTGTCCCTGTCGATTCTGTCCGGAATCCATATTTACTTAAGTGTGACCCCTACAAGAAAAAAAAAAAATTGTGTTGTTCTAAAAGCATTATACCTGATAAAAAATAAATCACACTTAAGCATTGAAAAAAAATCTTTTGTTACACTTAACTAAAAATTTGACAACCCATCAACTAGTTTTACATTATCCTCAATACTCCAGGGGTTACAATCAATTTTGCTCTCTTTACAACTCTGGAACATGTCATGGCAAAATTGACGGCACAAGCCAAGTTATTTGATTGGTTCCAGGAGAAAATAACTGACCAATCACAGACTGATATGCTCTTTTGAATCTTTAAAGATTACAAAGGAGCGACACCCAACTTCAAAGCCATTACAATATACCATTGTGCAACCTCTAGATTCGTTTGACATACATCAAAGGATCAAACTAGTCTTTTAGTCTTCAAATTTGCCATGACTTGCTCCAGGGGTAAAGAAAGCAAAAGTGATCATAACCCCTGGAGTATTGAGGAATACAGCACAAAATTTCACACTGTTTATTCATAATCATTTAAATCAGTGTATGAATTTTACTCATGGGAACAGAGTAAATTGGTCTTTATATGCAGGTGGTTTCTATACAGAAATTCGAAAAAATAAAATTATAACTAAAAGTTTGTACTCTATTTGAACCCAAAACCAGTGACCTTTGTAGCCAGGTATTTGGTATAATATTCTGCGAGTGGCCTTTATATTCAGGTATTTGTTTATACAAGTAACCTTTATATTCAGGTATTTGTTTATACAAGTGGCCTTTATATTCAGGTATTTGTTTATACAAGTGGCCTTTATATTCAGGTATTTGTTTATACAAGTGGCCTTTATATTCAGGTATTTGTTTATACAAGTGACCTTTATATTCAGGTATTTGTTTATACAAGTGGCCTTTATATTCAGGTATTTGTTTATACAAGTAACCTTTATATTCAGGTATTTGTTTATACAAGTGGCCTTTATATTCAGGTATTTGTTTATACAAGTGGCCTTTATATTCAGGTATTTGTTTATACAAGTAACCTTTATATTCAGGTATTTGTTTATACAAGTGGCCTTTATAGCAGGTTTTATGGTAAATAGAGTAAAGATATAAAGATGCTCTGGCACATAGGTGGTGCTACCTGTTACCGTTTAGTAGATTGTGCTTGTTACCAGACCAAAATTCCTTGAATCAAGATGGAGCCACCTGTCAAGGTTATCTGAAAATAGGTGGGGGCTATCTATTTGATTTCTTGGCTATGTTGATGGCATAACCTGTGCAAGATATCTGAATGGTAGGCAACTGTATGAGTTGTCAAGAAGTAGATGGCACTACTAGTCCATGTTACCTGGAATGTAGATGGAATGGCTGTATAAGTGATGTCCTCGAGCTCGGGAGAGCCTCCAATAAAAAATCTACGCAATTCTGCAGCTGCTGATTTGCCAATGGGCCTCCAACAACGTGCATTCTGCTTATAGGCACCTGGCAAAAAGAAATGAATCTTAGTATGTAAAAATCTACATGAAAAAGACAGCAGTGAGATGTTTAAATAAAGGAGACAGGATGAGACAGGTGTGATATATTCACCTGAATGAGACAGGTGTGAGATATTTAACTGAATGAGACAGGTGTGAGATATTTACCTTTGGTTAGACAGGTGTGAGGTATTAACCTTGATTAGACAGGTGTGAGGTATCTACCTGGATGAGTCAGGTGTGATATATTCACCTGCATCAGACAGGTGTGAGATATTTACCTGCATAAGACAGGTATGAGATATTAACTTGTAAGGGACAGGCAGACAAGATGAGACAGGTATAGGATATTTACCTGGATAAGACAGGTTTAGGATATTTACCTGGATGAGAAATGTACGAGGTATTTACCTGGATAAGACAAGTGTGAGGTATTTATCTGGATAAGACAGGTGTGAGGTATTTACCTGGATTAGACAGGTGTGAGGTATTTACCTGGATTAGACAGGTGTGAGGTATTTATCTGGATAAGACAGGTGTGAGGCATTTACCTGGATTAGACAGGTGTGAGGTATTTATCTGGATCAGACAGGTGTGAGGTATTTACCTGGTTAGACAGGTGTGAGGTATTTACCTGGATTAGACAGGTGTGAGGTATTTATCTGGATGAGATGTGTATGAGCTATTTACCTAGATTAGACAGGTGTGAGGTATTTACCTAGATTAGACAGGTGTGAGGTACTTACCTGGATGTGTAGGGATGGTTATGTATGTGTATCCTTCTGTACGGAATCTGTTCCACATATCCAAGGACAGAACTTCCACCATGATGATTGGGAAATGAGGCAGTGGTTCTGAAACAAACAAAAATACATTTCAGTCTCACAAAGAAACTTTTAAAGTGCGGCAACATTTAACCTTTATTTCAAACATCAGTGAAATACAACTTACTTGACTTCAGCAAATTTATTTTCTAAGTTACAACTTTTGATAAATCTAAATTTAGCATTATCTTAGAATCTGTAAATAATTTTTTCCTATGAAAGTTCCATTACCTTTATCTTCTTCTCGGATGGAAGTGTCTTTGTAAAACAACTCAAAGTTGAACGGAAAACTGAAGTATGAAACATTGTCCTGAGAAAATACAAATAAAATTTGTAATTAAAAAATCATGCTTAATTATTTTAATTTCAGATATAACTGCACATATTACTGGATCATATAGTTATAATATCTTAAAATCTTTCATGTTCACCAAATTTTTGTGAAGACTACAAATAATCAATATTGACTGGCAATTACTTGCCTTAAACACCATATACAAAAACAGATCTAAAATGAGCTTACATACCTTCACTGTTATTGATCACTTACCCGACCCTCAACCTTTGTCCTACATGTCTGTGTTACCCAGGACAACTGTTGTGAGCGGTCAGCTGTCCAGTCTGTACATAAACAAACACATGTTTATAGATATATATATAGGAAAATAATATATCTTTTCATATCTTTCATTAAAAACAATCTTTATTTCAATGATTTTTATTGTCACAAATTTATATTAGCCTAGAACAATTACCAGGATGGCTGACTTACACCTACCAGCTCCCCAATCATTTATTTTTTTGACTGAACAAGATTTGTTTCCTGTGATTATTGCCCTGTTTACAGCCAGTCATTTTGCAACAGCGCATGGATAGTAGATGAACAACGTACTGAAAGGTGTTGAGAACAATCAGGGTAAAGTGTCTAGCCACAGGACACATCTATGATAACATAGGCCATTTCTTATTTCAGCCCTTGGTAGGGAGCGTTATACATGAAAAATATCTTACGTTTCGGTAGGTCGACAAGGAAATGAAGATACAAGTCATCATACTCGAAGTCTCGTGCACATTCTGTAGCGAAAAAAAAAAATTTCACTAATAATTCTAAACTTCTATTTTTCGCAAAATTTTACTTCCCTTTAACAATGTGTATCAATTTTGCTTTTTCATTTTTTTATTCTGAAGTATTTTGTTCCGTTTAGAAAGGATCAAGTTATATACAGATATTACATATTCAAGAATAATTTTCATTCCTTTCACGAGATTTTACTTACCATAGTTAAGATGATTGATCAAGAATTACTACTAAATGACATATCCTACTGTAACATCTTCATTTGGGATTTATATCTGTTGATTTAGAAGAATTACTTAATCTACAAATCACATGTCCATGAACTTAATTCATATGTCCATGAACTATAATTCATATGTCCATGAACTATAATTCATATGTTCATGAACTTAATTCATATGTCCATGAACTATAATTCATATGTCCATGAACTATAATTCATATGTTCATGAACTTAATTCATATGTCCATGAACTATAATTCATATGTCCATGAACTTAATTCATATGTCCCTGAACTTAATTCATATGTCCATGAACTATAATTCATATGTCCATGAACTATAATTCATATGTTCATGAACTTAATTCATATGTCCATGAACTATAATTCATATGTCCATGAACTTAATTCATATGTCCCTGAACTTAATTCATATGTCCATGAACTTAATTCATATGTCCATGAACTATAATTCATATGTCCATGAACTTAATTCATATGTCCATGAACTATAATTCATATGTCCATGAACTTAATTCATATGTCCGTGAACTTAATTCATGTGTCCATGTACTTTAATTCATATGTCCATGAACTTAATTCATATGTCCATGAACTATAATTCATATGTCCATGAACTTAATTCATATGTCCATGAACTTAATTCATGTGTCCATGAACTTTAATTCATATGTCCATGAACTTAATTCATGTGTCCATGTACTTTAATTCATATGTCCATGAACTTAATTCATATTCATATGTCCATGAACTATAATTCATATGTCCATGAACTTAATTCATATGTCCGTGAACTTAATTCATATGTCCATGAACTTAATTCATGTGTCCATGTGCTTTAATTCATGTGTCCATGAACTTAATTCATATGTCCATGAACTATAATTCATATGTTCATGAACTATAATTCATATGTCCATGACCTATAATTCATATGTCCATGAACTTCATTCATATGTCCATGTACTTGATTCATATGTCCATGAACTTAATTCATATGTCCATGAACTATAATTCATATGTCCATGAACTATAATTCATATGTCCATGAACTATAATTCATATGTCCATGTGTAGTTTTACTTAATATAAATCTAAAAGAAGAAAAAAATTGAAATGTCATTTTATAAAATAAGATACACTTACCCATTTCTCCATATACCAATAACCTGAGAACACCTAGAGGTGGCTGGAACAGATGAGAAATATAGTTTATACACAAAGACAGAGAGGAGGGGGAAAATAGGTAAGTCATTACACCAAGGTGAGAACACCTAGAGGTGGCTGGAACAGATGAGAAATATAGTTTATACACAAAGACAGAGAGGAGGGGGGAAATAGGTAAGTCATTACACCAAGGTGAGAACACCTAGAGGTGGCTGGAACAGATGAGAAATATAGTTTATACACAAAGACAGAGTGTTAGGAGGAATAGGTAAGTCATTACACCAAGGTGAGAACACCTAGAGGTGGCTGGAACAGATGAGAAATATAGTTTATACACAAAGACAGAGTGTTAGGAGGAATAGGTAAGTCATTACACCAAGGTGAGAACACCTAGAGGTGGCTGGAACAGATGAGGAATATAGTTTATACACAAAGACAGAGTGTTAGGAGGAATAGGTAAGTCATTACACCAAGGTGAGAACACCTAGAGGTGGCTGGAACAGATGAGAAATATAGTTTATACACAAAGACAGAGAGAAGGGGGGAAATAGGTAAGTCATTACACAATGGATTTAGTGTTCTAAGACACTATTTTTACATCAGGTCAACATAATGATCTCAATGTACACAAATAGCCAGCATATTGTCCACCGCATTATCGTAATACCAGTAATTCTATCATAACTAACAACTCATTTAAATCAACATCTGAAGATAATGAAATAATGATTTTGGAGTAAAAGGTGTAAAAATATCAAGCTTAATGTTGTTATGATGGAAGTTAAAGTCCATTTTCATCTAACTTTTTGAATCTTGATGAATTAGAACATGTCTTTTAATTTTTTCTAACTGCAATATTGAAACATTTTTGGACTCACCAGTTCAAAATCTTCCCCAACACAAGCCTGTAAGAAGTCTGCGTGTCGGCTGTAAACCTCACGGTACATCTTCTGTTCTTTGTCTTGATCTTGTCTAGAATAGGTCAAGGTCATAATTCAGGTCAAGTTTTCAACCTTGAAGGTCAAAACTTACCGAGCCCAAAAGGTATGCTACATCAGCTAAGTGACAGAGGCCATATTTAACACTATGTATAATCTGCATTCGCCCTTTTTATAGTGATCAAGGTGAAGGTTAAGCCAATGCTAAACTAATGGTAAAAGTCAAGGTTATGTCATGACTAAGGTCATAGTAAAGGTCAAGGTTATGATGAAGCAATTAAAATTTACAAAAATCAAGGTCAAGGTTATGATGAAGCAATTAAAACTTACAAAAATCAAGGTCAAGGTTATGATGAAGCAATTAAAACTTACAAAAATCAATGTTTAAAATTCTTTATCTGAAATATAATAAAAGTTTGATAGAGCAATAAAAAGGGTTAAAGAAAAACTATTTTTCTAAAACTTTGAATGTTGACTTAGATTCCATCAGACAGCCAGTTATACTCACGCATTCATGCTCTTTGAGCTGTGTTCTAGTGTGTATTCAAAAACATCTGAAAATAAGAACCATCACATTGCAATACAGCCAAAATGTTTACCCCCAGCCCTATCCACATCCCCTACCTTATTATTTTAATCACTTCCCTGTGGTAGTACGTTGTAAACACAGGATGACTTTTATACTCACAATGTCTGCATTTACTGTAAAGATTCTAATTATATGCAAATTGTCTCGGAGTCATCGTTCAGGATTTAAACAGATAAGAAACTTAAAAATGAAAAAAATAAAAGACTGAAAAAATAAGTGAGAAATTTATTTGGACCTGAGACTTACCTCCCTTGACACTATTCTCCACCACATATGGCTTCTTGCCTTTACTGAAGTCAGGACGCATGGAGATAACTCCATTAGCATCTATTTGTATCATACACAACACTGCCTCCTCTGCTAGTGTGCCACTACCCCTGAAATGCCACAAAGGTCAGTGAAAAAATGCAAGGTTAAATATAAAACAAAGAAAAAAATTCGAAAATGAAAATATATTTCAAAAACTGAAGCAATTCCTTCCCTTTGAACAATAAAAACAAACTTATTCAGTTACATTCATGACGCCAAAATCTGAGCAAATAATTCTGTTTTTAACTAGCAAAAAGAGATAATCATTTTCGGACAGATTAAGTGAAATGAAAAAAATATAGGAAGTTAATGTAAAAAGGAAAAACAAAATGCTATTGAGTAACACAATAATACCAGACACTAGTTCCATTCCCATATATATGATATATTTCATAAAATCACTCACTAAAACAGACAGTTTTGATTTCTTTAGTATAACTTACTCTTCCCTGCGACTGAGGTCTGCCATAATGTAGTGCACCTGCATGGGGGCGGCCATGATGTGATTCCTGTTGCGAAGTTCCTCTGATGGATTGTAGTCCACAGTGTTTATTTTAGGTACAAAACCAACATCCCTGAAAATAACAGTTTAAAATTTTAGCTTTCTGATAAAAACGGTAAGATATTATTTTATCTTCTCAAAAACCCTCACAGATTTATGATTTTGAATATCAAACATAAGTTTAAACTTTGTTAATTTTATGAACACTTAGTTACAGTCCAACTTTGTTAATTTTATGAACATCTAGCTACAGTCCAACTTTGTTAATTTTATGAACACCTAGCTACAGTCCAACTTTGTTAAGCTGTATGAACACCTAGTTACAGTCCAACTTTTTTAAGCTGTATGAACACCTAGTTACAGTCCAACTTTTTTAAGCTGTATGAACACCTAGTTACAGTCCAACTTTGTTAATTTTATGAACACCTAATAACAGTCCAACTTTGTTAAGCTGTATGAACACCTAATAACAGTCCAACTTTTTTAAGCTGTATGAACACCTAGTTACGGTCCAACTTTGCTAATTTTATGAAGTAGTTATAGTCCAAATTGAGAAACCTTAAGAACAGTCTGAAGAAGATGACAAGTTTTTTATCCCTTGTATTTGGGTAAATTTGCTATCTTATTTGAGAATTGATAAAATAACATCATCTTGATTTTCCTTCTAAAAGGGAGAAATTCAGTAGAGATATTTTGTATGAGTTATACCTAATACAGTAAATAGTAACACTTGACATTTAACACTTCCTAATGTTTAGCTAGGTATAGAATGAAAATTCCAAAAAATTATTCAGTCTTCATTTTTTTTGTTTTTTATTTTGTTGACATTGTGGGCTGTCTTAAATCATGACCTGATAAAATGTTAAAAGATACTATTTTTTACAAGGCTTGGTATCAGAAGGGAGTAACAATAATTCATGATTTAGTAAAAGATATAAACACTTTCTCTTTTCACACATTTCAAGAATCTACAGAAATTTATCAAATTAAAACAAACTTTCTTCAATATAATGGTGTGATCTCTGCTATGAAATTATTTCTAGGAAAGGTAGGTTACAAAAAGCAATTAATTTGCTACCCAATTATCCCAAGTAACATATTTTTTTTCTTGAAAAAAGTTATGGGGACCAAGGATTTATATAACCTAAAGGTAAAACACTGTCATGTTTCTACAGGTAGGAAGAAGTGGGAAGAAATATTTGAAGATATTGATTTGAACTGGACTGATATTTATAAAACTCCCTTTAGAGCTACAAAAAATACAAAGTTACAGTGGTTTCAGTATAGAATAGTGCAGCATATTCTAACAACAAATGTATACTTGTTTAAAATTGGGTTATCAAATAATCCTTTTGTCCTCTCTGTAACTTGGAGAGAGAAACAATTATTCACATTATGTGGGAATGTCGAGAAACTCAGAGATTTCTGTTTATTGTTGAAACACTCTTTGATGCACTTTTGATACCATTTTCATTTAATAAGAAAAGTTTTCTTTTTGGAGTTACCTTGAGTCATGAGAAAGTGTTTTAAGAAATAGGGTGGATAATGAAATTTTAATCATGATTAAGTCTTATATATATAAGACAAGATGTCTACATAAAATTCTACATCCAAATGCTCGGATAAATTCAATTAAAGAGCATTACATTTGTCAAAAATATATTGCAAATAGTCAAGGTGATCATGCACGGCAGATTTTAGAAAATGGAGAAGGTTATTAGAATTTGGGGAGAATTAACTTATAATTTGTACTGTTTTAATCAGTTTGGTTGTGATTATGAAGGCCTTTTACTTATCAAGTATCTATTAACATTTTACTCTTCCTTGCAGACTAATTTAAATTGTGTGTGAAAACATCAGTGATAAGGTAATTATTTTTTCCATATGCATATATGTTTTGATTTTCTTTTTAAATGCATACCTAGCCCAACCACTCCTCTCTCCCCCCTATCTCTCTCTCTCTCTCCCTCTCTCTCTTTTCTTTCAGTATCTTAGTATTAATAAAGAATACCTCTTTCTGCAGTGTTTATTTTTTCACTTCTGTGGAAAGTATGAAGATGTGTGTGAGGATGTATGTACAATGTATGTTTGTTACAGTATTTTTGTTAATATGGTGATTGTGTTGATAATATTAATGCTGAGAAAGTGTATGAGGAAGTGAGGGTGTGAAAGATGTATGTGTGAGGATATGATTGATGAAAAATTATGATTATATTGATTGACAAGTATAAATTGAAGAGTATGATGATGTTGTTAATGATGATGCTATTGATAATGATGATGACGATAATGTTGATAATGATGATGATGATGGAATGATGGATGACTACGATGTTGGTGTTGATGATGATGATGATGATGATGATGATGATGATGATGTTGATGATGACTGTTGAGGATTGTGGATGAAGATGTTTGAATGATTGATGATGATGTATGATGAGTATCAATTATTAACATGATGATGATGACTGTTGATTGTGGTTGATGATGATTTTTGAATATGGATGATGATGATGATGATGATGATGACGACGATGATGATGATGATGACGATGATGATGATGATGATGATGATGATGATGATGATGATGATGATGATGATGACTGTTGATTGTGGTTGATGATGATGTTTGAATATGGATGATGATGATGATGATGATGATGATGATGATGATGATGATGATGATGATGATGATGATGATGATGATGATGACTGTTGATTGTGGTTGATGATGATGTTTGAATATGGATGATGATGATGATGATGATGATGATGATGATGATGATGATGATGATGATGATGATGATGATGACTGTTGATTGTGGTTGATGATGATGTTTGAATATGGATGATGATGATGATGATGATGATGATGATGATGATGATGATGATGATGATGATGATGATGATGATGATGACTGGTGATTGTGGTTGATGATGTCATGCTCTGGTGATTGTGGTTGATGATGATGTTTGAATATGGATGATGATGATGATGATGATGATGATGATGATGATGATGATGATGATGATGATGATGATGATGATGATGACTATATGATCTTTTTGAAATGCTCTATATGATCTTTTTGAATGATGAATAAAATGAAAATGAAATGATGATGATGAATGATGAGTATCAATTATTAACATGATGATGATGATTGTTGATGATAAGAAATAAAAGAAAATGATTGTGGTTGATGATGAAAAAAAAAAAAAATCTCGCTTGTCAAATAAAAAAGGATAATGTTTTTTTTCCATTATTTATAGACTTTTCATAGAATTTTATCGTAGTTTATCATTTTTGAAAATTCATATCTTATCTCAAAATAACTGAAATATGCTAACCAGGTCTTTAATTTTCTGATTATTAAGACGTACTGTTTACTAATTAGGTACCAACTTCCGTTTAATATAATTCATGTCCATGCTTTCAATCTCATAACTCTGTTGTTGTGTTGAAATTGCACAGTCTCTCCAAGCTCGCAAATTAGTAATGGGGTAATGCTGATTCAATACTTTTATATCTTAATAGACACACATATCTTACACATGTTTGTCTATGAGATATCTGATGCAATTTATCACACCAGTAACCTGTTATCCGGTGAATTCTCCCATGCTGCATTTTTGCCTTTGTCACTAGTGTAATGTACATTGGAGAATTTTTCATTGGCTGTTGTGATGTCGTAATATAGACAATGATATTATGTCATCAATTGAATATGGTGCAACAAATGATTGACTCCTTTTTATCATGTCTTTCAAATTATGACTTTAAAACCTGTCAAAATATAAGTTTTCTATGTTAAGAGATAAAAAGTACGCCAAGGCTCATTTTTTTCAAAATCGAAAACTCGATTCATAAAATCTCATATATAAAATGAGAACTCATTCGAGATCCTATTTATAACATTTCAATACAGAATACAATGTATATCATATTTGTTAATTATCTCACCAACGATATATCTTGAGTACTGTACTCTTAGATCGTTTTAAAGTTATCTAAATATTACATAAGGCATCTTATGAACAATATTGATAACATTTCATGTATTTTTAAACAATTTTCGTTATCAGATATCCCTTTAAATCACTTATGATACATCATAAAAAAAAATGTAACAGAACTTGATTAATCTATGAAATCTTATGATATTTTGATTTGCCGCAAATTTCCCCTTTCCTACATCTCTTCATATTCCATTGGATATTTAAGCGTTTTGAGGTGCTAAATTTATAGGGTTTTTTTTCATTCTATAATATTAAATATCCTTAGCATTCGCAACTGAATCATGATAAAATACAAAGTAGCTTTCGATGAGTTTTCAATGTCACTTCATCATTTCTGAATAAACTAATATTGTGGCAAAAAAAAAAAAAAAATGTTAAAAGATTGCCAGTGTTCAATATAAGTGAATATAACATATATGCAAAATGCAAATGTAAAAGTGACTGAAAAAATGAACATGAAAAGAAACAACATGGCATTCAATACATCATTTAAAATCTTATGACCAAGGCGGTCAATGTACCTACAGCATTACTTTCTGTCTAACAATTTTTAAATCTGCTATCACAGGTTTTTCACCTTTATTCAGACAATTTAGCACTTAAAACCTTCTTTCATAATTAATAATTAAATATATAATTTAATTGATGCTAATGTTTGGTATGGCTGAAATTGTGAAAAAAAAAAGAGATTTGAAGATGTCCAGTTTTGTGTATTGTAAAATCATTTATTTTCATGGGGTTTTTGTTGATTTTTATAAGGTCTGGATATCCTTCATCCACAAATTTATAAATGCCCACACACTGATATGTTTATAAATGGGTATTTATAACTATATTTATTAATCTATTGAGCTATATCTATCAACAAAATCAAATATCCACAAAAAAGTGTTTTTTTTTTTTTAATTACCACGACAATAAGGCCCCATGAAAAATATATGTTTTCACAGTATATACTGTAAACTTAAATAATTTTTTGGTAATCATCTTATTTTAGTGTTCTCCCAGTCGAGAGTTTAACATTATGTTTGTTGTTAAAAAGAAATAATTGTTAATGCACAATTTCATCATTTTGCTAATTTGCCAAAACGTGACTTCTTATCAAAATGTGTTTAAACTAAATTTAAACTTAAGGAAAGATAACTCTGTCTTAACTAATCCAAGGCAGCAGTAGAATATCATCAAGAAGGAAAACAATTTATGGAGTCTATTAGGTCCAAATGTAAATTTAAGATTCTAATAAAAGATAAATCTTACATACATGTCCCATATGAATTCAGAATTTTTATTTGTTCTTCATTCAGCAAGCTGATGGTTATGTCAGAACCTTTAATACACAATAATATCACTCTCTTTCAATTTTCCAACAAGGAAAATTATTGAAGTGTGGTCATTTTCTCTCTCTCTCTCTCTCTTTTTGAAAATCTATAATTATTTCAGCAGTCTTGTCTTAGATGCTTTTTCAAAACTTTTACTGCAGAAATTCTGCTTGAAAGAACAAATCTACCATAAATGTTTCAAAAGAATGTCTGATGTTCTTAAAAAAATCCTGCTGTCATTGAATCACAAATATTTCGTTCTACTTAATATACCGGTATGTCTATCAACTAATTGTAAAAACCATTTCTGAATTTCCATCCAAGCAAGACCTTTAGAGAGTTTGTTAGTGTGGTATTTTAATGGAGACTCAGATGTCACATTAAAGTGGCTCATATGTCCTTAGGTGCAAATTAGTTTTTAAATACTAAAGGAACAGATATCTGTATATACACAGTTGGATATGAAAAAGCAGAAAGAAATTACGTACTTATAAGACTTTGGTCTTATTTGAGTGATTGAGCATCAAAAAAAAAAAAAAACCAAAAAAACAAAAAAGAATCAACACAAAATAATGCATATGAAGTGTGAAATTTCAGAGAGGAAATGAAAAAGAAGAAAAGGTGCAAACCAACGGTGCATGGTAAAAACAGAACCAGAGCTAATCATATCAATAAAAACCAAAAATATTTTGAAATGGTAGACCAGGGTGTGGAAGGATCTTCAGTGCTGACAGAATAGATGCAGTAAACAGTGAATAAGGTTACCTGAAGGCGTTGTTTCTTCTGAAAAGGCACAAAAGTTTGACATCTCTTCTAGTTACCATGGAAACCAATGACTTCTTGAGACATTGTAAGAAATTTGTTTGCAATACGGTATTTTATTACAAGATTGCCAGGTCATTTACTTAATATATCTATATAACATTCATGCTTTATTCACACCAGAGTTAATGAAATGATCTCACACAGAGATCGCATTTTGATGTAACAATGGAAACCATAGATAGAAATCTGAAATGACTTTAAGTTTGATATAGAAACGTCAATTTTCAATAACACTTGCCTAAAGAATCTATCACATGACAAAAAGTTTTCTTCAATTCATTTTCATTTCATATGTGAATACACGTCACAAATTTTTCATTATAACTTGCAAAAGGCATGCTATAATTTAAAATATGTAGACTTAATTTATAAATCACATTTCAATTAAAAATCATGTAAAATCTTTAATATCTGTCATCTGACCATTATTACCGGTCCTGTCAAAAACCGAAAACAGGCTTTATAGACGGGTGACCTTTCTGTGGAGGTTCATTTACAGTACTACTGAGATGCTTGTAAGCAGGTCAACTGCTGTACTGAGTAAAATATACATGAGAATTATGAAAGATTCATCATGTGAACAAGGCCATCTAAAACTGATATATTGGACGTTTATTCAATAATGCAAAATGAAAGTTTGGGGCAAGTATGCAATTCATTTCAGTTTTTATCATGGCAAATAGCAACAAAAAATATGCTTTACAATTATTACAACATAACCAGTTATTTTCAAATGATATTTTCACACTTTCACAGTACATTAACGTGATCGCAAGTATTTAATCTGTGAAATAATTTGATATGTGTGTTAAGATATCCATTTACATCTATATCGTGAAATTTGAATTCATCGAAATATTGTTTGGTTGTTTTGAAAGAAAGTCCTGAAAACAAAGACTTATGGAAATTACCAGCTATATGTTAAATATGGATTGAGCATTAATTCATTCTCCTATTATGTTAGATGTGGTGTGATAATAAAATGAAAATAAGTGATATTCCTTTCTGGTTTGTCAAACAACAACAAGCTTTCTTTTATTTCATATTAAGTCTGTGATAATATAAATAAACACTTCAAAAGGACACTGATACAGATTAAGTTTGTCGGAATATTTGGAAGAAACTTTGATAACACTGATTCAGATGTCAAGTTTTCATATTTGTGATTTAACCTTTATTATTGGGATCAAATTCCTACACAACACTTTGCAATACAGAATCTTTCAATGTATTTTACTTCCAATAAGAGAAAAATGAGTTGAAATTGTTCAGTGTCTTTGGAAACCTTAGGCTAATCTTAACAATAATTGAATGTTCAATTTTTTCAGCATGAATCTATATCTAAAACCTGAATCCTTCCTCATATGTACAACTGATGGATTTAGCATAAAACTTGCACATTCTGCTCTAAATTCACATTTATCAACCACATATACAAAATTGGTAGCATTTTCTTGTTCATGGTAAAAAGCAAGCTGCAAAAAAGTTAATCATGTTAATCCTGATCATATCATATTATGTGGACTATATCTTCTGTCGGAGGACTATCATAGAGAGTAGTGAACAATTCACTGAAAAACAATCAACACACAATAATCATGAGCCTGATAGCAATGGGTTTTTTGTACCCAAAAATCGGACCTGATATTCTATAAGCCATTGTTACCTGTTCGTTTCTTTCTTGCCCCCGCCAACTTTCCGTCTCCGTAGATTGGCCATTTTTTCTGTAAGGATTGACGGTTTTTCATTGGCTGATGTAGTTAGGTACTGTACCGACTGAAATAAAGATAAGAAAAAATAGATCCTAAGAAAGTACTGTGACATGATTTTGAATAAGACAGGATAATTCAACCTTTCCTTTATCTTTAACTTGTTGTGATTTCATGTTTTTGAGAAAAAGTGCTTATATTTGTATTTTGTTACACTGACAGTAACACTATCTTTAATATTAATTTAATTGTATACAGCAGGTAGTCACAAATCACCATATCCAAATATATTGCAGTACAGCAGAAATGGCTACCATTGGTATTTAATCATCCTGTAATACGCTCACCCCCCGGTTTTGAGTTAGTGTTATATGTTTGACTCCATAAACAAACATAATTCAAAATATAATTAACTTAATAAAGTTTAAAATAATTTGGTCACAGTGACTTCCATATGGTATAATTGTCAAATTTATTTTATAATTCACAGGAAGTGAATATTAGAAATATTTACTACATAAATTCTATGAGTGGCTTGGATAATATTATATATATATATAATATATTTTGTGTTGTGCTGTAATAAGCCCACCCTCTGCATTTGTGTGCTGGCCCTCTTTGATCACTGAAGGATGAATACAGTGTAGCCATTTAATTAATCACACAAATTTTATTTGTTACTGTACAGTGAAACCTGACAACTGCGACTCTTGATCTATGCATGTTTTAACATTACCCTGTAATCAAAAACTTTATTTACAAGAGGCCCATGGGCCTTAACGGTCATCTGACAAAAAGCAAGCCAAACCTATTTTAACATATTTGACCCCTGTGACCTTTAAAGTGGGTCAAGGTCATTCATTTGAACAAACTTGGTAGAGCTCCATGCCAGTATCCTCTGTGCCAAGTATTAGCCCCCTAGACCTTCTAGTATTTGAGAAGTTTGAATGAAAAGTTTACGCACGGCGGACGACGATGGACGAAGCACGATGGCTATAGGTCATCTTGACCCTTTGGGTCAGATGACCTAATAAATCTACTTAGTGAAATCCATATTTTCCAGAATCTGGTCTAATTTTTCCTACATTTTGTCACACAAGACGTCAGAAAAAACTGTAAATTATACCTCAACACTTTGGCTGAATTTGTCGTGATCTACATAGGAAAAAAGACGATTGTTTGGCTTTCCTTTCTCCCTGTGAAAAGAGGAAATATGAAAAAGATTGCACAGAAATTTAGAATTAAATAAATATTTCAAAAAGGTACATTATATAAATTCAAATTAAAGGGGGATAACTACCAGTATGTGAGAAAATTTTGATACATATAATTACAGGACTTTCGTCTAATTTTTCATTCTCTGTGAAAGACATATTGTTATCCATGCAACCTATTTTCAATCATTCTTTCAATGTAATTTTTTGTCATTTAAAACCATCAGAAATGTTCCATTTTGGTTGGAAACAAGCAGACAGGCATTCCTACAAAACTAACAGCTAAGTGCTAAAAAACACCTCGATATAAGACAGTGGGAGTTAAAGAAATATTTTAAGTAGTTTCCTTAAACATGTAATAAATTTGAGATAAAACTTCAGAAAATTTCAGGAATAACTTTCTCAAATTTCCTAGGGGAAAATAAACATGTCCTTACTATGCAGCATCAGCAACATGATTCTATAAACTATTGGAATTTTGAAACAATTGTTCATACTGATAAGCAAAATCACATAAAAGTGTTGATTCTTTTAAATTTTTCTGTTTTAAATCAGGTAGAGCATGCATATTAACGAGACTGATTTGAACACTATTACAAATCTTGTTATGATAACTTTTTATTTCATTCTTCAATCTAAATTTATCAAAACCAGAACACAAATTCATATGATACAATATTTACAACATCATATCAAAAAAGAGTCCGTATTTGTCAAATATTCTCTGAAAACAGTTATCATAATCCTCATTTGCTCAATATATTTTTATAAGAGCCCATTAAAAAATCAAAGCCTTTAGAGTTGACAAAATTATGTGATAATTATTTCCCAACATAATGAAGACAACAAACTGTCAAACTAGGGTAAAAACTTAGGATATTTACAGAATTTCTGTAACATCTTTGTGATACTTCTTCTCCATGACTCCCTCACAGTCGGCATCATTACCGTAGAGTTCTATCTCTCTCTGAAAATAGACAAGATAGATTTCAGAGACAGAGCCGACCCCACGGTTCTAAGTATGGGTTCAGAATGCCTGATATCCCAGGGTACCACATGGCATGCATGGCAACTGAGGAACAGGAACATTGTCAACCTCATAAGTACACATGCCCATGTTTTGTGTACTTTAGGGGATAATGAAACCCACACAGTTTTGGCAAAACCGGTCAACAACATTAATAAACCTAAGATCAATCAGCAAATTGAGCTCGTTGCAACTGATATCTTACATTGCTAGACAAGATATACATGTAAACATCTACATATACTAACAAGTTTATCTCGCAATAAGCCAATGTCTGATTATAAGCCCATCAATTTTACCAGAAATGTCCTGTAAAAAACTCATCCTTGACCTTCTTAAGTCAGATATAAGGTATAAGCCATCTGGACATATTTACAGTTTGATTTTCTTTTGGGACGTATAATGTTCTAAACCTAAAAAAAGAAAATTCAGTAAATGTAAGGCTATGGTGACAGAATATAAAGATCTGTTTTCATTTTTACACTGTGAGAGGAAAAAAACACAATTCAAAATTACAGCATTATGAAAAAGTATTCCAACAGTAACAAACTAATAAATGGACCAACATGGTAGTGGCATTATTTTCTTTTGTAGAAATTCATGTAGCCGTATTTATCCTGAAATAAACTCTGTGAAGAAAATAGAAGATAAGTTAATCATAGGACAATGAATTTTATACCAAACTATAACAGATATTGAGAGGCATATGTGTATTAAAGAAAGAATATTATCAATATGTCAACTAGCTTGGGGCTATGGTAGCAAGGGATTCTATATGGTAATTAACTACAAGACCACCCTATACTTCCTAAAATTAATTATTTTTTCCAAGTGGTGTGACATTGCACATTTTAACTGTAATAACTGTTAAGATCAGGTGCCTAAATGAGAAAGCAATTGGTTAAAAAACAAAAATTGGGACAGAGAGTAATTAATTAATTTTCCCAAAATAATAATTGGCAAGGTGTTGAACTTTAAACAAATTATGAAATGACAAATGTTAGCATAATTATTACAGGAAAAAAAAAGTAACTTTCAAATTTAACATTGGGTGAAAGGAAGCAGTTATTTTTATGAACATGCAAGCTGTTTCATATTTTGATAAAATCCATATACTCGAAGCTATCACTCTGCAGCATATTTCATCACCTTTGAAACATACCGGGTAAAATTTGTTTCCTTTGATTTGGATAGCATATTGTAACGAAAGCCGTTTACACAAATCTTTAGGGAAATCAGTGCCATAATAAACATAAAAATTTAAACCAATTCATAATTACCAAACAAAAAACTTTTTCTTGCCAACGAAAAACTCTTTCTTCCTCATCTTTCTGAACTTCATCAGTAATGTTTTGCATTTCAACATTCTGATTCTCTTTTTCCTCTGCTTGCTGGGGTACAATACTTGATGATGTCACCCGTTCTAACTTGACTCTGAAAAAAAGTTGATTAAACTGAAGGCTTCCTGAATACAGCACATGCATCATTATTAACTCAGGGCTATAATTGATAGAAGAAAAAATATACCCATATATCAACTGGCAAAGATATATTGTTTCATCAATTTCTAATATATATTTCATTTAAGTTAGTCACTCTCTACATTCGACCATAAATATGGAAAATGAAAATGGTTTGTACTTTACAGAAGCATGAAGCTTTTAATGCCATTGATGAATTTAGAACAAAAAAATTCTATCAATATTTACAAAATGTATTAATATCAGCAAAAGATGCAGTGACATATCTGTTAGATTAACATGTACAACAAGCTTTCAGGTTTCAAGGAAAAATTGAAGTAAACTGAATACACTTATATTTACCTAGACTAAGATAATGCAAGGATTGACATAAATATACAGTGAAAATAATATTTATTTTAGTAATGAAATGCATTTAGTAATGAAATGCATCCAGCGGAGCAAAAAAAGAGTGTGTTTTGTCGCAATTAAAAACATGTTCCGAAGCATCATTAGCAACATCATGTTGTGGAAAACTCTCCCACACTTTCATCAAACTGGTAGCGAATGTAAACAATAGTTGACGATCGTCTAACCATAAGATTTATACCAACTGCTGGCATCATTAAACAAGACTTTTACATTAATAAGTGTTGGTGGTGATTAAAGATCCTTGTCAATTAATTACCTGATATTGAGATTCTTAACGGGGTCATTAGAGCGATAATACGCTGCACCGAGATCAGGCTCATACAGGTCCGCCATAGCCGCTCCAAATCTGACTCGATGGAAAGCTTGCTTGATCCTTCGAAGCCATTTAAGCACTTTACTGACTTTTTAGATAAAAACATTTCAATCACTCAGATTCAATGTTTTTCATCAGTTACAAGAACGCTTCAAAACTGACAGGTGTCTGCTTCGGCAGGATTGCACTGTCACATTTCTTTGAATTGCATTGTTGCACAATCCAATGGCTTTGTCAACGTGTTTTTATCCAACTGTATGGTATATTCAGCAAAAACTCTAAATGGTACGTACTTCTTAATGTTTGCAATGAATTTTGTGCATTTTATTGATTTTGTAAATCATTGTGACATTGACGTTTTTAACGCCCGAGGGTGTTATATTTACATGTGTTTACATGTACAAAACAGCATTACGCAATGCAAAGGCTTACAGTCAAAACCTCTTTAGATAGAGAGTTGTGTGGCGACTGGTAATAAACGACTGACGTTGGAGCAAATTAAATCATAGTAACATTTACGGTGAGTTGGCCAAAACAAGGAACCTTTATTGAATATGAAATGATGACATTTAGAAATAGGTTTAAATTCTCTATCTGTGATTTTTTGTATACAAGTGCATGTCAACAAAATTAATTGTTTGGTTTTTGTAAAGTCCAGTATGGAAGGAAATACTTGTTTTAAAATTTTTAAACTTAATAATCAATCCAGAAAAATAAAAAATACATTTTAATCTTACATTACATGCATTAATTGCTTACAGTTTCTTAAGTCGAAGAATATCAAAACTCCTGATGACCAGTCCAAGGGCTATAGGGTAAATTTGCAGTTTTAAATTGTATGGGTTAAGTACATAGTACTAGTGTAATAAATAGAGAATTTTCATGAGTTTCCAGTTCTTATGAGATTTATGTTAAAACAAATATAACAGAATTGTTCATTGTATAAGTTTAATCAATTGCAGAGATTCTTATTCACATCTTAGGTACCTTTTGATTAGACTGATTGTCTACTTTACATCTTTTACTTTGGTGATGTCACTGATAGTTATGATGTTTCTATGGAAACAGTGGAATCTTGCAGCCCTGATAGATCATATCTCACGTATAATAACAAATAACGGAAAAAAATGTTACCATGGTTATTACACTGAGCTGCCTCAAAACGACCCTAGTGAACTTTACATGGCATTTAACCCAACTACAGCAAAACAAAAAAACCCAATTAACTGATAACTTTACAAAATGCAGGTATTTTCTATTGCTAATTTTTTTTGAGTGATTTTCTCTTGTTTTCACTTTAAATCATTACAATTTCCTACACATATCTATGTATGCATGAAGCAATGATTACCATTGTTTATTTTCAAAATCCCCCTGTAGGGTCCAAACACGGCGCCTCTGGCTTAATTGTTTTACCTACTTCTTAAAATACATGGTGAAGACATTCTTCCTACCAGTCAGTAGGAAACAGTATACCACATCAGAGTCATAATGTATGTTGCTGAAGTTTGTCCCATATGCATGTGTAGTACCTGCATGTTTCAGAATTTGCAGCTGCTCAAATGGGTTTCGAAGTCTACTGTTACACAGAAATCAAACAGAACTGACAACAAAGCAGTTATTATCACAACAAATTTTAGAAGATCAAAGCACTATAGTGTAGCTGACATTCTGAGGGAAATGGATTGATATACTGCATTCTGGTTCCCTAAATACTTCTCTATATTACAGCTATGTTTTTTTCGATGCATAAATGCAGTTAAATGTAACCAATAAAATTCAGTTTAAAGTGAAAGTTTAAATAAAAATCAAACAAATGGATATTCACATTTTTTATAATCACCTACAAACATCTTCTGATACGTGTGAATGGTAAGATGTTATGTCTTTAACTACTTTACTGCTAATGTTGCTTGTAAAATGTGTGTCTATATTAAGTGAAGACTCATCAACACACAGCATTTTTAGTACTGTCAGGACTAAATTGTTAAATTTTAAAGAAATAAGAAGTGTTATTGTTAGGACTCGCCTGAAAAATACTACAAAAATTATTTGGTAGATTCTGATTCCTAGCTAGTTCCTAGATAATGGTTGTATAAAATTTTGTCCAGGTTGCGTGTACTACATTGCTGAATTTGATGATGTTGGATAATAAATTAACTCAAGATCAAGGATCAATTTTTCATGTAGTTAAATCGTTCAGTTGCTTAACAGCACAAAAAAAGAATGATGGAAATATCTCTTTGATTATTGTCTTACAATTTATAAAAAGTGAATTTCATATTCTTCAAGAATTTCTGTGTATCATGTGTGTAAACAAATTTAACAGTGTTGTTGGAAATGAAGACTGTAGTGATGAATTCCAATTTTATGTATCTTCCAAAATTGCTCAATTTAAAATATATTGTATATTTTATTCATTTTTGGAAAATCAATGTTTCTATGGTGATATAAAATTTCAAATAAAACTGCAGCTGACAATCAATAGAATGTAAAATTGATCAGGTATTATCAAACCGATTAGATGGAAATTGTTGCGTGCTTACTTTTTAAGCAAGTTGGAACTTAACAAAAGATTCTTTTAATTTGTTAATAAATTTCTCAAAAGTGTGGTTATTTTCTCCAGCTTCAGACTAAATTTCCTTTGAATTTGTGCTATCAAATATTTGTATAAGTATATCATAGTGTTTTAAAGATATATTTTGATGATTTTCTTATAGATCAATGGAGTTTTTTACCTCGCTATTATCAGATGGTCGGCCATTCAAATCACCATACATCCGTGGTTTGCCATCCGTCTGTCAGTAAACAGTTTTTGTTATCGCTATTTCTTGAGAAATACTGGATGGATCTATCTCAAATTTCATAAGTAGGTTTTCTTTGGTACCTAGTTGTGCCCATTTGATTTTGGGACTGATCAGAAAAACAAAATGGCTGACAGACGGCCATCTTGCATTTTGATTTAGAAAGTTTGTTATCACTATTTCTTGAAAACTACAGCATAGATTTTTCTCAGATTTCATGTGTATGTTTCTCTTGATCCTTAGTTGTGCCTGTTTGAGTTTGGAACTGTCCAGAAAAATAAAATGGCTGACAGACAGCTATCTTGGATTTCTCCTTGTAAGGACTGTTTTCCCTATTTTCTTAGAGAGTACTGAATGGATCGATCTCAAATTTCATAAGTATGTTCCCTTTGGTTTCTACTTGTGTGTGTTGGATTTTTGGACAGATCAGAAAAAAGTAAAATGACTTCCAGGTGACTGTTTTGGATTTGGCAGGTAAAGATTATCATTGCTATTTCTGCAAAAGTGTTTTCAAATTTCTTATCATTAAGATCAAAAGTAGAAAAGAGAAAAGAAGGGAAAGGATTCAACTTTTAAAGAGCAAATAAAGATCAAACAACGGCGGGGGTCTCTTGTTTAGGCATGTTTAGTATAAGCAAATTGTAAAGTTTTCAGTGTTTTTTGTTATTTTCATTTACTACAAAGTCCAGTTGCAATGTGTAGGAGAATCAAAAAAGGAAAACGTGTGAAAAAATGGTGTGCTGTCTTTAGTATGTACATCTTGTATCCAATGGCCTATACAGGATTGTTGTACACTCCCAAAGCTTACTTATACATTACTTGGTAACTTTCAGTTTATAAGTATATCAGAGAAGAGATAGCAATGAGACAGGGGCCTCGTATTATATATTGTATGGATCTGCGATGAAGTTTGGTGGCCTAGAATTCATGTGTACATGAACTGTAACAAGTTCTAGGACAGCCCTACTTGAAATGTAACTCTTGTTAAGCCATAAACCCAACCTTTCTGGTTTTATGGATCGTTCAAGGTTTAAGTGAAGACATGCATACCAGTATGTGTCATAAGAGGTTTGGTTACAGGAAAACTCAGAGAACTCAAACTGGTAGAGTTGAGATCAATAGTAGAGGAATATATCAGGACTTTGATGAATCTGAGCAAGGTTTCTTCTAAATATCTATGTATATGTCAACCCCTATTATTATCTCAAGTCTTGTGAAGGAATTCACCAGTTTCAGGTTAATATTACATTTTGTCAAAACCTGTAGGAGATGTCTTGACCAATCACAAAGAGGGATTTTCTCCATCGTATGAAATAAATTAATGAAAGAATGACAAAAAGTGTTATGGTAACTGAATTATTGATTATATTGTGATGTGGGAAAAATAAAGATAAAAAACCTTTAAACTCTACAAGCTTCCTGTAAAATACGTCCTCCACATGGTGATATGGATTTTCAGCATTAAAGTGCCGTTAAAACTCTAGCTAATGAAGAGTTTCCATTTCATATGAGATTTATAAAGGGAGTCTTTTTAAAATTGCTCATTTTACAGAGTCTCTGACTTCATCAATCTTGTTTAACATGGGAACATGTGTAAAATTCTGTCTATAACATTAATTAGATATGTTCACAAGTACTAGTAGAAAAAATATTTTGATACAATAATGTAAAATCAAGTTTGAAAATGTTCTCGCTCCATATCTCTCCTTTGGTGACTTTATTCAGTTATGACATCACAATGGAAAGATTAGGACCCTTCAGCCAATCAAGATTCTGCTAGGTATTATCATGTAGAGTGATACATATTTGATGTAATAGATGTTATTGCACTGATGAAAGTCTAGTTATGTGATGAATGTAGGGTCTTACATCCTTTTTATGGATGATTTATGAAACAAGCTGATAAATCGTTTATTCAAATTTAAGTAAACCATTGGTGAGATGAAATGAAAAATTTATCTCTTAATATGGAATGAAAACTTGAACAAATTCCTTTTTGACATGATGGATTATATTGTGCAAATTGATTGTTGCAGAAAACTTGATTTAATTTCCATTTAAAACACTTGAAATCCTCTTAACTCTGTGGTCGCAGTTTTGACAATATACAATGTAATCTGTAAATATAGAACTAAATTTCCTTGATTTATCTAATCCTGATATACAACATGGGCTGTTAGGTAACATGTACTTGTGATAACAGTATCAGAACGTGA